AACGAGTCAAAATATTATTGACGTATTCAATTATTTGCAGTTTGTGGGGGTTATGTTTTCTCTGACGAGTCCTGAAAATAATAAAGCACTTAAAAGTTCCGCTTTCACTTGGCTGACCCAGCGCTCCCGCAGCAGCACAGTGTGTTACCCCGGGAGGGAGCCGAGCCGCCGCCAGCGCGGGGCGAGGAGCGCTGAGAAAGCAGTACACACAGTCCCTCTGGAGGGGAGCAGCTCACACTCATCTCTAGGGGCTCTTCCTGCCTGGCCTGTATTATTTATTTTACTATTATTAGCATTTCTGAGACACCAATCACTATGGTAACTGTGTGCCCATAATAACTTTGCATCTCTGTGATTCTCTCCGCCAGCGGTTTCTCTGCGCTTCGTGGTCGCTAATTGCTCTCACCCGCACACACGGCCCGATGCACTCCCCAAGTTATCCAACCTGAGGACCTGCTACAGATAGGAAGGCTGGGGTGCAGAGGGTTTAAGGGATGAGCCTTTATGGGTCTCCTCACTCCTGGACCTCCCTCTCTGGGATAAATCTGCATTTCAGCTTCTTTCCCCGGCTTCCTAGAGGTGCACTGCAATAGGGACTTAAGCCATCAACCCCTTCCAGGCTTCATCTTTCTCTTTAAATTGTTCCCATCACTTTTCTTCTGCTTGCTGAGCCCTTGAGACGCAGTGCTGGGAGCCTGGGAATGCTCTGGCTGAATGATCTTGATGAAAATATTTCTCACAGCTCTTCAAGAGCACATTTTGCCCCAGTCTTGCATAGGCAGACATAGTGGGCATCGTGACCCCACGGCGAGTATGAAGAAGGACTACAGGAGGAGCTCAGTGGTTGTGCAGCTCAGCTGTGCCCCCTGCCAGCTCCAGAGATGCAGCCCCATGGTATTCAGCGTCAGAGATGTTCACTGGGGGACCACTGTAGTTATCCCCACAGACCTGCTGGTTAGGAGCACCTCAGAGGAGAAGCCCCCCACACATCCAGATCACAGGACAGCAAACCCATCCCTGCATTTCCCTTCAGTTTTCAGCAGCAGCCAGGACTCTGTGGTTGCAGTCACCCACTGGCACAGCAGTGTCATTTTTAATCCTTTTAATATTTCTCTTTTTAAGAGCATCTTAGCTTGGGGGCCACATGGAGGCTGAATGGCAGGAAGCCTGTAGGCTCTGGGGTTGTGAAGGGGAAAGACACAGTCTGCAGCAGTGCCAGTATGCTCATCACAGGAAGAATTATGGTTGATTTTCACATATATCTATAACATCTGTGTGGCTAATAAAATTGATGGAGTTTGTCATAATCAGCCTGTACTCTCCAGTGAGAGAATTATGTCTGAGCATTTGGAAATCTCATGCACAGGCAGTTACTGAGGGAATGCTGTGAAGATTAAGTTGTTTCTATGTGGCAATGAATGCCCACGCTGAAATGTGCTGCCTGCTTCTGTGCTGCAGTGGGGTCCTCAGGAAGAGTGTGCTGTTAAGTGGGACACTTGTATTAACTAGAAAAACATGCTTTTATGTGCTACCTGCTGTCACAAGTGTGCATTTGCATTCATGCTGTTGCACTAAAATAGTGGATTTCCAAAGCAACAAAAACTAATCCCAGAAATATTGCATGGAACAGCCCCAGTCCCTACTCTGTGTGGAAAAGGGGAAGACCTCCAAGAACAGCACAAAGGCACTGCTCTCATCTCCTACAAAACCCATCAGTGTTCCTGGTGTTGTCTGTGCCTCAGGTCTGGCTTTTGGAAGGGCTGGAACTCCTGGGCTGGCTCTGGCACAGGGCATCGTGTCCTGCCCATCACTGCCACCGCTGCCTTGGGGCTTTTGCAAGACCAACACCCAAAATCCAGGGGGTAGAATGAGCTGAACGTAAGACATCCTTGTCCCCCAAGGGCTGAAATGTGAGGAATGGGTGTTTTGTAAAATCATGATTTTTTAGAGAATCATACAGTAACTTTTTGTAATATCGTTACTTAGCGTGCTACTTCCTGTGGTTTGGGTTTTTTTTCTGTTGTGCTGAAGAGTTGGTATAATCCATGTCCTTTTGCTGGATCAAATGTAATCAGCTGATAGCTGTCAGGAAAAAAGTGGACAAATAATGCTGTGATGACAAATTCTGATCACATTCATTTTATAAGCAGAGATAGTGGCAATTTCATATGTGATTGATTGAAAAACAGTATTCAAGAGGGATTCATACATTCTGTATTTATTTACTGCATTTTCTTGGCTATGGGCTTAAACAAAATTGGTTTTGCATCCAAAATGTAATCTGAATGCCTGTGAACACAAGAAGGCAGATGAACACAAGTCATTTGGGCATCCAATTCCTTTGCATGTGCATGCAAACACTTCTTTTTGAAATACCAGAGTGGGCTACATTTAGCAGTTTGTTAAAAATACAGAGTCTTTTTTTTCAAGGTGGTGTCTTGATTTGCTATAAATCTGGAATATGTGTAATTCTGACTGTGGCAGTTCTGTATCTTTTGCCTCTCCACTGCCCTGTCAGCTCTGTGGCTTAGGAAAAGTCCTGGAATGGTGTGTGATGCTATTGTTTGAGTTCAGAAGAAATCCAAACCAAATGAAACTCTTTGGTAACTCCTCTGTCCTTCTGGGGTGGATATAGCCATTCCTGCTCCACCTTTTTAAAGAGTTTTGGGGCCTGACCCAAAACACATAAATTTCTGAGGATTTCAAGTCAAACCCACGTTGCTATAAGAAGTCAGTACTGTACTGCCATTTAAAAGTGAGTTCAAGTCTTTTATTGTTGTAGATCCAATGATAATAAAGACAAATGCATTGGATTAATAACTCTCCTACCTTGAAATTTAATTTAAAATCTCTTGTAATGTAATCACATTTGGGTGTGCCATTACCCAGATGGAGAGAAATTTGTTTTGTTGAGAAATTGCTTTAGCATAAGAATGAGTTGAGTTTATTAACAGGGAAAAAAACATGACTCCCCTCCCCAGCCACTCCCCATGCATTCCAAAAATAAGAAACTCATTTCAACATGGATATTACTGGTTAAAAAATAATTACACATAATGAAATGTCATATTTCACACATACTCCCTGCAAACCATGCTTCTTAGTCTTCCCTAAAACACTGCAGGGTGTAACCAGCTCTTTCTTCCTCCTTCATGAAAAGAGTATTTCACAATGGAATTGTGTGATGACAAAAAGTGGTGCTGGAAAAGCATCACTACCCAGAGAGACATAAGGAATTGCCACAGGCCACTGCTTATAATCCCACACAGTATTAAGCAGTCATTGTATCTCTATCCAGGGCTTCATTCTTCTTTTGTGACCTACAGCCTCAACGAGAGTTTTTACAGAAACGGAACACCACGGAACAGCAAATTTGGGAACCCTGTCACTTGACAAATAAAATGTTTGGCTCAGAATGTTATTTTTCTTAAATGTGTCTTTCAGCCGCTGTCATTAAAAATGTTAAATAGCTTTAGGAACCTGTTTTGTCAATTACCTTGGGGACAAGAATGAAATACTGGGCTGTT